ACTGAAGGATAATTACGAAATACTTAACAGAGCTGGAGGGTAGTATAATGTTACCTCTTAAAGATGGTGGTTTGAATTGATGAGCTTTCGTTTTTCTCGTAAGGGGATTAGTTTGAGGTTAGTTTCAAAGTTTTCTTAGCGAAATTTTCTTAGTTTTTAGATTACTCATCAAACTGAATTCACGAACTTCGCGAAATACTATCTTCGGTCATGGCGAAGTTTTTAATAGGAAGAAATATTAGCTCTCATAACCACAAAGAATCGGTTGTATGGGGCCTCTATGATATAGTCTTCTATATACAAGTGTTGAAAAGCAAATTTCACGGTTTTAGTTGTTGTTTTGAGGGATTTTTGACTTTTGAAAACAAGTTGTTGTAAAATAACTCTATGTTACAGTGGTCAGATTTGATCGGTTCCGGCAAATAATCAATAGTATTTGCAGCTTTGTAACAGCTCCGAGCTCCGATGGAGCAAAACGATGATGCGCAGGCCTTACAAAAGAAGTTTGGTTTGACAGTTAAGTTTGATAGATGTCAAAATACAGCACTGTAGTTTTGAAACAATGAAATAAGTAACTCCATATTATATAGTCCTTGTATAAAATATTCCGGTAGCTCATAAACAGGCTGATTATGAATTCATTAAGTGGAATTTTTGAAAAAAGTTCCGAACGAATTTGGAAGAAAATATTCTGTCAGCCCGTAAAAAAAGAATAATATTCCAGTGGCACTAAAGCTTATCAGACTTTATTGGAAGGTTGAACTTCACTTTGAATACTTTTTCAACGCGAAAACTATTTTTCCAACAGGTCATTCTCTCAGCTGTTTGAATAATTACGTACAAACATACATACATATGTACATATGAACGTAGTGGCACACTCCTAAATCTGCCCAGCACCTATTGGGTTTCTTATGAAGCAGTAATTTGACATTCATTGTTACTGTGAAAACAAACTAATGTTTTCTTTTATTCTAAGATTTATACAAGCAGACAAACATACCTACAGACATTAATATGACACGCTTAAAAGTATTTCAGCAAGCTCATAAAGTAAATAAATCTCAAGTGTAAACACAACAACACTTTGTACATCTATATGTACGTGTATGTGCATGCATATGATGGTGGTGATGATGGGTATGTAAGTGATGAGAAACAAAAAACGCCGGTAAGCCGGTATATGACAGAAAATTACAAAAGAAACACACGAAAAAGTTCACAAGCAAGAAAAAACGTAAAAATTGATTAACAAATAAATATTAATTTATTGCCGCCAAGCCGAATATGGGGAGTACTTTCGGAGAGAAATCACATTACGATCATAGAGATATTTGTAAAGGGTGTTTTTTTTAGACATGTGGTTTTCAGTAAGCAGTAAAATGCATATAATTCAATGTTGTGGCTAAGAATTTAGTATTTTAATAAAGGTAAGAGTTCGCCATTACGTTTCAAAAATTATTTTGGGCAAGTAACCGCCGCGGCTGGTTTGATTTTATATACCGCAGAGAGGCCCAACCACTTCTTGCAGCACTTGCAGCAATAACGCGCAGAATATTCTCTTGCTAGGCATTAATCGTCTCGGGCTTATCTGCGTAGGCCAGCGACTTCATATAACCCCACAAATAATAATCCCGCGGTGTTGGCCAGAGACCCACGACGCGAGTTAAGGCGCTCACCAAACGTTTACGTGAATAAATTGATTGTTTCCATGGTTGTATGGCATGTAGCGTCGTCTTATTGAAAGCAAATAACATTAACCTCCCCAATTCAGGACGAAAAAGTCATTAATCACCGCTATATAGAGTTCCCTATTGACTGTAACATTATGGCCGGCTTCAATTTTGAAGAAATATGAACCAATGCTTCCCTCTGCCCACAGAGCACACCAAACAGTGACTTTTGTGGAAATCGGCATCGGTTGCCATCTCGTTTCAGGCCCATTCACCGAAAGTGCGAGGCGTTTAATGACTAGGTTAGGTTAGGCTGAACTGGCTGACCCAGAGGGTCTCATATAGATGAAATACATCCATAGTGTTGTCATAGACACTACATGCGACAATGCTGCGCAGCTCCACTTCTATTGTGCCTCCAGTGTGAAGAACATTACTTTTAGTTTCCCAAATTTAAGTAGCCGTTCTGACTCTTTGTCCATTGCTGTTTGAAGATCGTGTAGCCTTTCTACGCCAAGTATGCATAGCCTTTGTCTTCCGAAAGCCAGATGATCACAGATTGCGTGCTCCACTGTCTCCATGCATTCCTTGCATTTTTTGTATTTGTTGTCCCCAGTCAGAGCTATATTAAGCACATGAAACGCCAGAAGGCAGTGCCCCGTTAGTAGTCCTATCAGCAGCCTGAAGTCCGGTCTCTTAACAGATAGTTTTTGTATTGTATGTTTTACATAAAGTCTGCGATTCTGTAGTAGTACTTCTTGATTCTGCTTCACTTTCTTGAGCGTTTGGTGGTAGCTCGGCTTCAATTCTTAAACAAACTTGATTTTGTAAGCCCGCAACCAAGCTCATAACTCAAAATCTTCCAAATAGTGAATGGGCACTGTTCCAATTGTTGCGCGCGACGGCGGTTAAACTCATTCGAGCCTTCTTCGATACCTTCCTCTACAGCATCTTATGGCACCTCTGAGGATGCGCATTATCCACTACAGAAAACGTGGTATGAAACCGGAGTAAGTCTGTTCATTATGACCTGGTAAGCCAAACCTGGTAAATCAAAGTGTAAGTCAAGTAACAGCGGCCAAAAAGATAAATTCCGAAAAAACAAGAATTCCCTCATTGAAAACTACACATTTAAACAACAAAAAGAAAAACACCCTTTATAAATGTATGAGAATCAATAAGTGCCGATAAAACTGGCATACAGTGGATGTATGAGTATGCAGATAGTGGTTTACATAGCTACAAATTTAAAATTGCACTGTAACTTTGTGTGGCTACCGCAATTGCGGAAGATTACAGTAAGGTCAAAGTCATTTATGGCAGCAATTAAATTCTTGAACTCTGACTGGGTTCAATGCAGAGCATATCAACTCCGATAAATGCAAGTGAGATGCAGTAAATGAATTATGCTGTGCATATCGGGTTTAAGCTTACATATGACTACGAAGGCATTAACAAAAGTTCGGTCAGCTTGGGACTTTCAATTTCAAAATACCAAATCATTTACAATTACTTTATGAGTATTCCCTTCAAATTTTAAATAGAAAGGCTAAAATGAAAACGAGAAAACGCAAGATAGCTGAAGATAGGTCAGATAAAATTCCACCACCAACGCGAACAGAAATTCACCATGTAATTCTCTTCGGGTTTCGGCATAATTTAAAGCCAATACAAATATTCAGTGAACGCCAAATTGCATATGGAACGATGGCATTGTTTTTAAAGACTATTTCCAAGTGCTTCCGAACATTCCAGACCGGGCATATTTCCCTAGAGGACCAGCCCCGCGAAGGTCGACCAAATTTTTCTACTGATGGCGTCACTGTAGATCTGGTGGAGTCCAAAATTGACGAAGAGCCGCGGTTGACACAAGATTCTTGTGAATTGGGCTTGAATACTGTGGCTAAATTGCAAATTTTAAGTAATCATCGGGGATACACGAAGATATCTGCTCGACGGGTAGCATGAATATTAAATGAGGCCCAAAAAATGCTCGAGTGCATTTTGCTTAATTTTTCCTAAACAAATTCAAAATTCTATCGACTTTAATAACGTCATTACTGGTGACGAATCTTTCTTTAATAAGTACGATCCAGAAACCAAACAGCAGTCCATGGTATGGAGTCCAACAGGACTCTAAGCAACAAAAATCAGCAGCAAAAGTAATGATTTCAGTTTACTTCACCCGATCTAAAATCGTAGCTAATATTCCACTGAAAAACGGTCAGACGGCAACTACAAAATGGTACACCAAAGAGTGCTTACCAAAAGTTTTCAAAAACTTTTTGGAAAACAGGTAGAATAGGGACTTGCGGCGCTACTTTTTACATCATGACCACGCGCAATCCCACACTGCTGAAATGACGAGTAATTTTATTGCGATCTCTGGGAGCGAAGAAATACGTCCAACAGCAGATTACCCGAATTTCTGGTTATTTCCAAAAGTTAAAAAAAAATGTAAAAGGAAGGATCTTTAATGCTGAACTTGATAAGCTTAAAAGCAAGATTTTGAAGACGGTTTTCAGAAGTGGATCTATAGGCCTGAAAATGCATTGAAATCAAGGGCGATTATTTAGAGAAAATAGGAAACGACAATAAAACTTCTTTACTTTAAACTGTAAAAAATATTACGAGCTGCAGAGCCAGAACATAGAAGATCAGCTATTGGGGTACGCGGATGATATTGACTTCATTGATCTCATCCACCGCGTTACTAGTGCTGTTTTCTCCAGACTAGTTGAAGAAGCGTAGCAAATGGGTCTGATTGGTTGTGGATAAGCAACGTTACGCTACATGAAGCGAGAAAAGTGTCACAAAAGTACCAAAATATGGCCACATGGCTTATGGACGCTCTCCAATGCAATGATAAAAGGGCTGAACGATGAGATACCGTTGATTTGTTTGAAAGAAAGTGTGTCAAAACACATTTTTGCTTAATATTTTTGGAGCTTGGAAAAAAAATCGATTAAAGTCGATGCAACTATCATAGAGTAGCAACTTGTTAGGCTGTGTTTTGAGTTTCAGAAATTCTTCTCTTCCACTGTTTACACATGAAAAAATGAAGAAGTGCTTAAGAAACTTCAAGTTGCCATAAGAAGTGCCTTCTCTCCCACCCACACACATTCCTCAAATTACGTTTGCATGACTTCACGAAAATAAAAAATAAAATAAAATATTATTAACATTTATTTACAGTTTGGTCATTACGAACGCACCTCATTTACCAACCAATAACAGTTAGCACACAGAAATTTCACATTTCACAGTAAGCCTATCAATAAATACATACTTATAAACATGCATAAGTAGCCGTAGATATGTACTCACCTTTATGGGTTGTCGCCGCCGTTGTCATTGTCGCCGTCGCGTTTGCCATCACAGCAATTGTCGCGTGCAAGAGAATGGTGTAAAAAGCCAATATTGCTGCTTGCCAACTGTAAGTGCATATGTAAATGGTGGAAAGAAGTATAAGTAATTGAAATTAGTTGTTTGAAGAAGTAAATACAGTCATATAGGATTCGTACTAACTATGAATTTACTAATAGTAATTGGTTAAATGCACAATATAAATAATGGGTAGGTCATGATGATAATAAATGTGAAGGTTACATGAAATAAAGGAGTTTTATTGCTTGTTATGCACCATAAAGAAAATATTTCTCTTCCTTTTGTTGTCCAGTCAATTTTGCATTGTTCATAGAAATAAAGCCATAAATAAATAAACAATGCTTTCAGTAAAATATTAATAATAAAAACGTATATTTATGGCATTTCAAAAATAAAATAAAAAAAATAATATTAATACATGAAGGAGCATTTGCACTAATAAAGACAGAATTTAATTTTGGCAACTGTGCTGAAACGAAATTCAAAAACATCGTTGGTGGTGCACTTTTGCTGGAGCAGATCCTAAAGGCTTTTGCCCTTGACGTCTGCCTGTTCGCACGATTATAACAGTTATTCTTCTTCTGCTGCTTTATTGCTATTCTATTCTATTTTCGCCGTTTGGCGTTATTTAGATATTTTAGGCACACACTGTGTTTTCTGCATCTGATCTTGCCAACGGAGTGGAAGTCTTCGCCTTCCTCTGCTCCACCGTGCGGGTGCTGCATCGACTTTGAAAGCTGGAGTAGTCTTATTCATGCGGAACACATACATTAAGACCAGAAAGTTTCCGGATTTTTTTCCTCGATATTCCCATTACAGTGTACATCATGAATTCGGGATAGACGATTAATAAAAAATTTTACTTGAGTGTTTTGAGGCGTTTGCGCGAAAATATCCGATCAGCCGGAACCATTCATAGATTTTTCATGACGATATTTGTGAACGATTTTATGACCAAGAAACTCGATCAATCAACCATCGTATTCCCCAGATTTGGTTCCATGCGACTGTTTTTTTTTTTTTTGTTTCCAAAACCGTGGAGCCCGTTTCGACTCGATTGAGGCAGAGGGAACTAAAGTCTGAAGTCAACTGATTTCAACAGCTGGTTGACAGATCGCGCTCATTTTTGGCATAGTAATTAAGGACAACACACAAAGGTGATGATAAATATTCAGTTTAAATGACAATTTCCGGAAACTTTCTGTAACCTCACGATTCGCTGAAGCGTGTCAATGTTACCGTATCTCTCGTAGGTTAAGCTGAATTGGCAATCGATGTGTAAGCATCAAAACATTCAGGTTAGTGTGGGCACGTTGGGATACTACTACCTTTATAATTTTCATTGATGTCTTGATGTCTGCTATATTTTACAAATAATCGATACCCAATATAAATGAGAGACCATTTTTGCTCCTCATTGTGCAGCTTTTACTGCACCTCATGAAAGCAGCACTGCGCCTTGCCCTATACAGCAGCGGGCTGTTGAAGCTTCTAAACCATAGAGACGTCCTCTCTTTTGAGAGAATTTATTTTGCATGATCTCCTTCGGTACCATTTCGGCCAGGTTTGTCTAGAAATTCTGCAAGTTGTATTGAATAGCAGTTTGTATGTAGCAAAATACATACCAATACGTTCTTTGTCAGCAAAAGACATACCAATACGTTCTTTGTCAGCCTTCATGTCGCTATGACCAGAAACCCCAATGAGAGATAATCTGTTATATTTGGCCATCTCCTGCAGAGATCGGCGACAGTCCAGCACAATTTTTGAAATCGCCATCCCTGCCTGACTATCGCCGAAAATAAAGACATCTTTACGAATGAGTTCAGCTAACAACGAGGAACATTGATAAGGCTGATATCCCGAAGTAGAATAATATTAATCTACTTAAAGCAGAAGTCTTAATATATAATTTGATTTCCTGTGCCAATTTGTGGTGTACATCTTAATTTTTCTCTGCAATTGCCGAATGGAAAGCTTTTAAAGCCGCCCCCGGATGACTGGTGGGCTTTCATGGGTAGTGGCAGACCGACGGCAATAAATTCTTTTTCCTTTCTGGAATTTAGATGTTAGTCTGGCGGGTATTCGTACTCTTAATGCATAAGCTGCCAAGAAGAATTGCGGTGCCAAACTAAAATAGAATGAGTTTTCGTAAGAAAATTAGTTGGAAAAAGGCAACAGACATCAAAAAAAGGATAGAAAATAATTTCTAAGTGCAGTTCTTCATAGAGATCCTCCACTCCTCCGTTTCAAATTTCAGTTGAGATTACAGAGAAAGGTTAATTGCATGGAAAACAATCGCAGAATAACTACAAAAGACCGGAAGACTGAAAACAATCTGATAAAATGGAGAACAAAAGGATGTAATTAATCAAACAGCACTTGAGGCAAAAGCAAATATAAAGAACTTTTTTGTTTTCATTCTAAGAAAACCAGCCGCGCACATGCCATACGACTTACATAAGCGAAATCATAAACATTATTTAAAATATAATCAATTTTATTATTTTAAATAGTATAAACGTGTCTTTATAAAATAAATAATGATCAGAATAACAATCGTTTACTTGGATGGAATTTCTACGAAAGCATGATCGGAGAGTAAATATAAAACTCAAAAAGCACCATTCTCCTACTATGAATTACTTAATGATAAGTAGATTAAAGTACCTCGGAAATGCCTTAAATCTGATGCAAATATTGCATGCAATTAATTAAAATTTATTTACACTGATCTTTTCCAGCAATCGAAATTCTACGCAAATCTGTTATCAATATATTCCTCCATGATGACGTGCAAAAACTCGAGGAATACGAAGAAAGTGCCAATTACGCAAATACTTAGTAGAGGGAATACAAAATTAGTGCACTTGTGCTACACTTATACATACATACATATGTATTTCACTTTCAGCGAAACTTACCCAAGACTTGTGAATTTTCTCAAGAGACACTGAAAATTGCAGTATCACCCAAATTACTCATACGCCCGTGCGAACTACGAGTATATTGATGAATATTGGGGAAAATCATTCATTACGACTATTCAGAAGAGTCATAAGAGTATGTTTATCAAATTTACTTTAATGTTGCTTACATGAGACAGCAAAAATTGTTGGTATACTTAATTCATCATCTATTTTGTCCAAAAGAGATTAATGACCAGATTTTCGGCAAAAAAAAAAAACTGAAAACACTTTGCCAAAAATTTTGTGGATGATGAACTCAAAGCTATTCGCTTCGGCCCTTAAGCCGTTGGTAGATAACAAATTAGGAATGAGAGAAGTTTCATAAAGGCGCTCCGCTGCACTTTTCTCAGCTTACTCTTGTAAGTAACCTTGTCCAGTGATTAGATTATACGTCAAATATGCATGAGTTTGCTCTATAACTTTTTGCCTCTCTCATAAGAAGCCTTATACTTTTCATAGGCACCTGAGGCAAATTCTTTACCAGCCATATCGTTCGTCATAGACAGAGACTCCGTTTAGTAATATGGTTCTTACCCACGCTTTGTATAGCCAGTCACATCTTCCAACGATTTGCAGGCGTAGAGTGCTATAATAGCTTTCTTATTCCCTCCTACCAAGCTCCCGTTACAGATGTGTTTCCTATCTAAGGTAATGCTTAAGTATTTAACCTCAGTAAAAAGAGCGATCTAGATACCTATGAGTTAGGCAGTATAAAAGCAGAGAGTTTATACCTTTTGGTGGAGAGTTAAAGTTCGGTCTTTGAAGTGCTTACAACCAGAGCGCACACTCTGTACCAACTGCAGGATCTGAAAACCCTTAAAGGGCTGCGCAGAAATATCTAAAGGCTTTCTGAAAAATCTTGTTTGGCAAATCGTATGGAAAGTAGTCTCCAGAAGACATATGTTCATATGTAGCTTCGTTTTAAAATCTTTAAAGTAAAAGAATTCCTATGTCAATTCTGAATGGCAGCCAAGACTTTCACTTGACTTGACGTTGTGATCTTCCTCAAATACCAGTTTAAAGTTAAATTGATATGTAATATATTTCGAAAAGTTAAATGCAAAAAGTTGCAAACAAAATCGGCTAATGGAGCTACCGCGAATTTCTTGTCGAAGTTTTGGGCGTCTCCACAACATATACAGTGAACTTCCCTTAGCGGCACCTCTTCAACTTTTTCGCATACAAATTCACCTCTGATAAAAGGACACCGCTATTGCCCGGGCAAAAAATGTAGTAATCACTTGGTGCGGGGTCTAGACTACGTAATAGATGCATAAGAACATCCGAACCAAGCTCCCGGAGCTTCTGACGAGTCACTATCCATATGTGTGACCTAGCGTTGTTATGATGAAACACAATAAACCGTTCTGTTGGCCAAACCTGGTTCTGGGCGATTGCTTACATCAAGCGATCCAATTGCTGGCAGTATAGGCCCGAGCTAACAGCTTGACCGTAGATGCCCAGTTCGTAGTGGATGATTCCCTGCCAATCCCACCAGACACACAACACGAACCGTTTTGGTAGACCCTTTGCACCGACTCACACAACTGAGCACAACCCTTTTCATTTGACGTTGCTGCAAGTGATACACTTTTCATCACCAGTCATTATCCGCTTCAGAAATGGGTCGATTTTTAAACGATTCAACAGCGATTCGCAGCTGAAAATTCGGTCTATGAATTTTTTCCCATTAACTCATGTTGCACTCATACGCCCGGCTTTTTGGTGTATTAAGCCTTTTTCAAATGCATCCAAACCGCTTTTTGTACAATGTTCAGCTCCTGGGCAATTGCAACAGTGCTCGCATGACGATCAGACTCGACGATTTCCCTTTACTTTACCGACATTTACGACAATTGGGCTACCACACCGTGGAGCATCTTCTGCGTCAAAATTACCGGTACTCAGTCGACGAAAGCGAAATTGTGTATGTGTATGTGTATGTTACAGTTTCGGGCCCATACACACTATTCACATTTTCAGCCATCTGAATTGCGTTATCGTCTTTAACGAAGACAAATTATAGAATATAGCATATTATCTTTTTTATGGTGTCCATCTTTGACATGCGCTCAAAC